AGGAGGAGGAGGAGGATGAAAAAGAAGAAGATGAGGAGGTGGAGGAGGAAGAGGAGGAGGAGGAGGAGGAGGAGGAGGAGGAGGAGGAGGAGGAGGAAGAAGAGGAGGAGGAGGAGGAGGAGGAAGAGGAGGAGGAAGAGGAGGAGGAGGAGGAGTAGGACGAGGAGGAGGAGGAGGAGGAGGAGGAGGAAGAGGAAGAAGAAGTAGAAGAAGAGGAGGAGGAGGAAGAAGAGGAAGAAGAAGTAGAAGAAAAGGAGGAGGAAGAGGAAAAGGAGGACGATAAGGAGGATGAAGAAGAAGATGAGGAGGTGGAGGAGAAGAGCGAGGAAGAGGAGGAGAAGAGCGAGGAAGAGGAGGAGGACGTCGAATGTAGCGGACCCACCAGGTGTGGTGCTCCGCTAGGGATGACGATGGAGATGGAGGATGAGGGAGGAGCGAGATAGCACAGCGCACCTCCCACGCAAGACTCCAGCGCACGTACTCCAAAACTGTGCAACTCTAGAATGATCCTGAAAACAGACAACTGTTGGGGTATACCCCAGCGGACTGACGGGACTGGACTGGACTGGCTGGTACCGACAGAGGTACTGGCCTGGACTGGACTGCCCCGAATAAAACACAGGCCTGTGAGAACAGGCCAAGGGGCTGGTCTCACAGGCCCCCCAGAGGTCCGCTACACGATCCTCGGCCTGTGATGGATCGCCTAGATACAAGCACGCTTCCGCCAAGAAGCGGAACTCTACCAAAGAAAAAAAAACCTGAGTAGTCTAGGATGCGGGGCAAGCACCATGCTGAGTCCATGCGATGCAACCTAGGATATAAAATGTCACAAAACAACAATGTCACAGCTAACGGCGTAAGTAAAAGCAGAAGCAACTAACTAGCATACATGTCCTAGGAAAGCAGAAGCAGCTAACTAGCATACATGTCCTAGAAAAGCAGAAGTAGTGACAACTAGATCCTAAAATGTTGGAGGTAGTAGCCTCAGTCTGGAAACAACTGACTAGTGTATAAGTCCTAAGAACAACAAAAGCAGAAGAACAAAGTCCTAGAATGTCAGAGGCAGTAGCCTCAGTCTGAGAGCAACAAGCAACAACAAGGCAACCACATGTCACAGGAGAAGTGTCTCGCAAACCCAAGGGTGGGATGGTCTTTGAGGGTGGCGAATGCAGCCTAGGGGTCGAAACTCCTAAGGGCATCCACACATAGTGACAGGGGAAACAGATGTCATCAGGCTCAATGAGGGTAGGGAACTGGGAGCGAGCAGAACCAATGACCCTAACAGATAGACCATCAAGGCGGGTAATGCTCGACTAAGGGGTGACCGCTATGGAGGGTCGACCATGCAAAGGAACAGGGGAGCCTGGTATACGGGGCGCACCTAGATGAAGCATGCGGGGCTGCCTAACTAGGGCGTGAGTGCCGGCAGAAGGTAGAGGTGATGGGTAGGGGAATCATGCAAATGACTCCTAAAGTGAGGAAAGTCGGAGTTAGATCCGTAAGATGGGAAGCCAGGGCAACGCTACGGTCTCGATGCCTAGGCGTATGCCAAGGGAGAGCCCAACTCAGAGTAACCCTTCCAACGTACGAGATACTCGACGTGGGGAGGGTTGTCATCGGTGACTCGGCGACCAATGATGTCTGAAACGAGGAACTCCTCGTGGCCGTCCACCATGATGGGTGGAGGGCGCTCGTATGGTCGTCCATCGAAATGCTAAGACAGTCTGCGGTAAGGACGCAGTAACGAGACGTGGTAGACATCGTGCACACGATCCGGGCGTAGGTAGTCGGGCAGCTTCACACGGAAGCTGACCGGGCTCGAAGTCGTATCAGAACCGACGGCCTGGAGGATGCGGCATGGGCCAAAGAAGCGATGCCGAAACTTGCGAAGCGTGTCCGCTTCGAGCTGTAAGTGACGGGCGTCGATGAGCACATCATCACTGACTTTGAATGGGTGATCCATCCTCGATCGGTTCGCACGTGCTGCCATGCCAGTCTGGGAAGCGGCTATGTGCTCATGTGCGGTCTTCATGATCGACGTCATGTGTGCAACCCAATCATCCAGCGTGGGACAACTCGTGTCGGGGTGCATCTGCGACGGTCGAAGGAAATCCGCGGGAACACGAGGGTGATAGCCGAGGTCGCAATAGTAAGGCGACATCCCCGTGACTGGAGAAACGGCGTGGTTGTAGGCTATCTCCTCGTGGGCAAGATGGAGATCCCACTGCTGGTCGTCACGAACAATCTTTCGGAGAATATCTCCGAGATTCCTGTTCGTGATCTCAGTCTGACCATTAGTCTGAGGATGGTAAGACGAGGAGAATTGGAGTTGTGTGCCGTACACCTCATGGAGCCGTCTCCAGAATCGGCTGGTAAAGCGCGGGTCACGGTCAGATATGATGCTCAGAGGTAAGCCATGGTCACGCACGACTCGGTCAAGTACGATGTCAGCGACCTCGCGTGCACTAATGGCATTGCGGCACGGAACAAAGCGTGCACGCTTCGTGAAGCGGTCGACGACGACCAGGATAGCATCATGACCGCGAGGGGTCGGAGGACGAAGGAGACCAATAAAGTCCATCGAGATGGACTGCCAACAACCCTAAGGGATAGGAAGAGGTTGGAGCAAACCATAAGGAAGGTGGTTCGCATTGTTCACCTCTTGACACATGGACACTTTGCGACGTAGTCCTTCACAAAGTCCTTGCGCTTCGGCCAGACGTACAAGCGGCTCACACGAGCCAACGTCTTGTGGAAGCCCATATGACCGGCGACTGCCTGGTCATGGAACTTTGCTACTGCTCGGACACGTAGCTGTCCAGTGGAGGGAACGCAAATACGGGGCTCTCTAGTGCCTTGTGAACTGTGCCAGTACACAAGACCGTTGTCCCCGAGAGAGTAGTTCGGGACGGTCTTGCCACTCTGAAGGGTCACGTGGATGTTGCGATAGTCGGGGCAGTGGCGGTACTTAGTGCGAAACTCGTCGATCACCGAGTGGTGGACGGTGGTGACCGAGATGGAAGAGAGCTGGATCTGCTCCTGGTCGTGGTCAGGGCGCCGGGATAAGGCATTTGCGACCCGATTAGTCTCACCCTTGATGTGCTCAGTGGTGAAACTAGACTCGGATAGGTCGCGCCACCAGCGAGCCTGTCGAGGAGTGAGCTTCGGTTTTGTCAGAAAAGCCTGGACAACAGAGTTGTCTGTACGCACCGTGAACGTTGCCCCGTGCAGGTAGTGACGCCAGTGCCGAGCGGCATAAACTACTGCGAGAACGTCACATTCATCAGCAGTGTAGTTTATTTCGACGGGCAGGAGCTGACGGGAGTAGAAGGCTATCGGACAATCACCTGAGCGAGACTCGACAGTGCCGTCCTCGACGATGGTAGGAGAATAGTCAATAGAAGGCTCGTTAGTAGCTGGACGAGTAGGCGTCAGTCGGGAAGCAGTGGTAGGGGTAGGTGGTGGGAAGCGAGGGATACGAGGATGGGAGGAATCAGGAGAGGAGGGGAAAACCTGAAAAAGCACTGCTCCTACAGCAAAGTCTGGTAAGGATAAAAGGGCGGTCAAAATCAAGTAGGTGAAGAACCGGTGCGCATGTCACCGCCTTCTTGAGGGCGTGGAAGGCGTCCTCGTGGAGGGGTGTCCAAGCCCAGGGTGGGTTCTTCCGGAGGAGGGTGGAGGTAAGGACGTAGGAATACCTAACGTATCCCTGGATGAAATTACTATAATAGCTGGTCAGGCCTAGGAAGCTGCGAAGCTGCTTGGCGGATGTGGGAGCGGGCTACTCCGCAATAGCAATGATCTTCGCATCGTCCATGTGGAGACCCTGGTCAGACACGTAGTGTCCTAAGAAATCGACTTTGTGCTGGGCAAAGCGGCACTTGCTCAGCTTGGCGTAGAAGCCATGTCTGCGCAAGCGGTCAAGGACGTCGCGGAGGTGTCTAAGGTGCTCCTCAAGGGTATGACTGTAGACCATGATATCGTCGGGGTAGACGAGAACGTACTGCTCCAGGATGTCCCTGAAGATGTCGTTCATCGCCCTCTGGAAGGTAGTGGGTGCATTGGTGAGGCCGAATGGCATCACCGTAAACTCATAGTGGCTGAAGGGCGATCGGAACGCTGTCTTCGGCTGGTCGGCTGCAGCGACGCGGATCTGATGGTAACCGCTACGAAGATCAATCTTCGTAAAGAAGCGGTTGCCTACTAGGCGGTCGAACAGCTCGTCGGAACGAGGTATGGGGTAGTTGTTCTTAACCGTGTAGCGGTTGAGACCGCGATAGTCGATGCAGAGACGGAGAGTTCCATCCGCTTTGCGAGCAAAGAGGACGGGTGCACCCCACGGGGAGTTGCTGGGTTTAATGAAACCCAGTCTCAGGAGCTCCTCAAGCTGACGCTTGAGTTCGGTGGCCTCAGGGATCGAGAGTCTGTAGGGTGCCTGGCGGTGAACACGATAGTCAGGCACGAGCTGAATGGAGTGCTCGACGTCACGCATCGGTGGGATGCGGACGTACGAGAACGACGATGGAAAAACATCGTGGTACTCTCGGATGAGGTTATGAACGGCGGGCTCCAGGTCAGCCGTATATCGTGCGAGTTCCTCAGCGTCAGCGTCAGCGCGCGACGGAAGGGTAGACTCGACGAACGGCGGAGGGTGGGAAGTAGAGATGGGAGCCATAGAGATGGAAGGAGGATCTGGCTCCAAAGGGATGAGCTCGGCATCGGGACAGGGTGGATCATAGTGTAAGAGACCCGTCATGTTCACCATAAAGAAGGTGACGTCGTCCTGTCGGATGAAGTGGGTGAACTGCCGAGGCGGGGTGACGGTGATAGAAGGAGATGGTGTGGGCACGGAGGGCTCCAGGGGAGGAGGATCGGGACGTGGTGTCGCAGTGGTACCTATGAAAGGTACGCGATACATCTGTCCACACTTCGTTTGAGAACGAGAGTGTTGGTCGCCCAATCGGCCTCGGTGCTGTGGAACCGACGAGACCACGGAGTGCCGAGAATGAAGTCGTATCCCATCTCCATCACATCGAAATGTGCAGAGGAGCGGTGACGATGAGACGCTGGGGGACGATCAGTCGGCTCAAGAGTGAGGAAGAAAGGGAGGTCGGTGACCGTCTGTCGAAGAAGCGCTGGGTCTTGTCATCCCCTAGGGTGACAGAGATGGGAGTCAGAGACCCTGTCGTGGGTAAGCGGGTTTTTTTCACCACACCTGGGTGAATGAAGTTGCCCTGAGAACCAAAATCCCACAGCGCTGAGTACACCCTCGTGGAGGTCCTAAGTCATACTGGGATGATCGGGAGGGTGTGATCAGGGTCAGAGAGGATGGCGGGAAGGCGACGCAGCGCAGCGACATGGAGGGTGAGTCGCTCCTGACGAGCCTGGAGCATGCTCAAGTCCAGAAGAGAGGACACAACGCCCTCGCGAGTAGTGAGCTGCTCGCTGCAATGGGCTGAGCAAATGGCTCGACGCGTCGGTAGTCGTGGCGGGGTAGGAGGGGAGACGGTGGTCTGCAGAGGCGCAGACGGTACTGCAACAAAGGGCTGAGTACACTCTGTCGAGTCCTCCGATACCTCAGCTCCAGTAGCGAGAGGGGGGAACCGCGACGGAGATGTCGGGAAGCTCATTACTGAGGAGGGTGCAGGTGTACACTGCACCGTGGTTAGGAGGCGCCGCGGGGATGAGAGGAGCCGGGGGGGGACTGAGCACGACGCTGGTGGGAAAGGTCATCGTAGTGGCGGTCGAGGGCGGTGGTATAAGGGCACCGCGAGGAGGTATGGTCGTCCAAGTGGCAGCGCAAACACCCACTCCGACCCAAAATAATCGCGCGCTCCTCAGCGGAAAGGACACCGCGAGGAGGGACAAAGCCCTGAGGGAGGTCCTGCTGAGGGACCTCGGGGGGCGACGCGCCAGCATGACCGAGGCGGCTGCGTGCCCGCGAGAGGGCGGAGAGGATGAGATGGAAGCGCTCGGTCATAGGAAGAGTAAAGTCCTCCAAGTGGTGTTGGACGGCCTCGCCGAGGTCGAGGTCGTCGCTATTGTCACCCTCTGGCGACAGCGGGGCACCAACGTCCTGCTCACCATACTCGAGCGCGCTGAAGCGGCGCGAGAAGTGGCGGCCCTGCTGCGCGGAACGAAGGGGGCGACCTCGAAAAGGGAAACGGCGCTGGGAAGTGCCGTGAGAGGAGGAGGAGGCATAGCCCGTGCGTTGAGGCTGGGAGGAGGAGGCGGGGTGAAGACGGGCCCGCATCCGCTGATGGTCCCTGGCGGCCTCGTAAGCCTGCGGGGCCGATGTGAACTCGTACCGCCATAACTCGGAGCGGTACTTGAGCGGGAGGCTGGCCAAGAAACGATCGATAAGGGCAGCCTCGGGGAGGAACGCCACGTCACAAATGAGGTGGGCATCCTGAAAGACCTGGATGTGGCGATCCGGAGCGGCAACGCCACCAGAGACGGACCAGCGTGTAGTGACGACACGCTCGAAGGCGTCAGTCACATCGTATCGGGCTTCGAAGCGATCCTCGAGGAACGCCTGGAAATCCATGAAGGTCGGGGTCCGACCCTCACGAAGGGAGTACGCGTAGAAATCCTCCCAGGCCTCGAAAGGACCGCCACGTAGGCGCGTGGAGAGGTGACCCACCCACGTGTCGGGTGTGTCGCCCATGAGCTGGAGCGTGCGGGTGGCAGACTGCAGCCACCTAGACATGCGTATGCCTGTACTGTCATACAAAGCAATGTCTGACAAGCGGATGAGTGGTGCGCCACCGTTTTGGTGGCGAGGGGATCGAGGAGCAGAGGCCTGTTCCACGACTGAGTAAGTCGGCGTAGGTCCTGGAGAGAGGGGCACAACTGACTGTGCCCCCGGGCCGCATGGGGGAGTGGCGGGGCCAACTACGGCAGGCTGCGAGGGAGTTGCGGTAGAAGAAGGCGCAGCAACCGTAGGAGTAGAAAGAAGGTAGGATGGGGCTGGATAGGGTGCAGGGCGCGGGAAGTGAACCTGCATGGGAGGAAGAGTAGAGGAGGTAAGGGGTGCGCCCGAAGGCGCGGCCACCTGTGAGGGTGGGGGTAGCTGAAGGCGTAAGAGGGCGACGTCAGCCCGGATCTGGGCAAGCTCGTCCTCGAGACATTGGATGTGGATCGAGCGAGGAGTGGCTGGAGGGAGAGTGGAGGAAATGGACGCACAAGCGGCACGGGGCCTCCCAGAGGGGGGAGAACCAGGTGGCGTCGCGGTCGTGTGAAGGGAAGGGCAAAGTGGGGCACCGTGAAAAGCTGCGACCATGGTAGCGGGTTGTGGTACCGTGGCCGTAGTGACCGGGATTGGGGCGGGCGCGGTCGTATACTGAGGGAGGGCCTGGCTCGTGGCGGCCGTCGTGCTAGGGGAATGGACAGTCACCAAGATGGTCGGGTCGGGGGCGGCGGAGGAGGAAGCTCCGTCGTGGTCACCCTGTCGGAGGACGAGGGACACGGACTGGGAGCCAGGAGATGAAGGACAGGCAACGTCCAGGAGTTGTTGCATGCCGGCGACAAGGGTCGCCACCTGCGCCTGTAAGGGCGCGAGGATTGCGAGTTGTGCCTGAATGGGTGCGAGGAGGGAGGTGATGAGGGTGTGCAGATCCCCCTGGGGCTGATGGCCCTGGTCCGCCGGCACGGGTGTGGACCCCGATGCCGTGAACGTACCCGCGTCGGCGGCGTGTGACACACCGTCGGCCATGGAGAGGTGACGGGCCGGATTGGAGGGGGCCAGAAGAGGTCCCTGTGAGCAGAGGGCGTAGGGGGGGGTCCGCGGTAAAAAGTGGCGGACGGCGCTAGCAAGGCTAGCGAGGGCGCCGTTAAGGGGAGGGGTGGTTCGGGTCCAGGGTGGCCGAAGAGGAAGGGGAAGTAGGGGGGGAGGTTTTGAAGAACCCTAAACCCTAGAAAAACCCTTGGAAAACCCTAACCGAAGTTTAAGTGGTTAGGGTAGGGTACCGGTGACCTAACCAAGAAATAAAATAGCAAGCATAGGGGGGGGGAAGGCGGGAGAAAAATAAATAAACAGCGAGATTTCGAGAGAAAATAAAAATAAATAAAAAAATAAATAAATAATAAAAATAATTAAAGAAATAAGTAAAAAGATGTGAAGAAGAATCATAATATTAATTTTTTTGAAATTTTCAGCAGCATTTCCTTACCCCTCATGGGGTCAAGAATGTGCCAAGGGGAAAGGAGAGACCAAGGTGAGCACACTAGGTTTCAAGATGCCGCAACTAAAAAAAGAAATTTCAGAAAATAAATAATAAATAAATAAATAAATAAATAAGTAAATAAGTGGGTGAGGAGGGGGAGAGAAATGGAGTATCTGATTTTTCAAAAATTTTTGCAGCATTTCGTTACCCCCATGGGGTCGAAGTGTGCCGAAAAAGACTAAGTAAGAGAAAATCAGAAAATTTTGGCAGCATTTCGTTACCCCCACGGGGTCAAAACGTGTGCCGAAAGCAAGAAAGACTAACACCTAATCAGATTTAGGGTTATCGTAAAGAAGATCGAATTTTTAGAATAAATACAAAAATAAATAAAATAAATCAGAAAATGAGAAAAGAAGGTGGGGAAGAAGACAATTCGATTTTTTGGAAAAAAGAGAAAAGATAAATCAAAAGAGAGATAGAAAGAAGAAAAACAGAAAAAATTTGAAGTAGGGGGGAAGGGGAATGAAAAAAGTGAAGGAGAAAAGAAAGAAATAGGTGGGAGAGAGAAAAAGATGGAAGTGGAAGGTGGGGGGATGATGTGGTAGTTGGGGGAGAGGAGGGTTGGGGAAAGGTGGAGAGGGATCAAGAAGCAAGGAGAAAAGAAGGAGGAAAGAAAAGAAAAGAAATAAAGAAAGGAGAGTAAAATAATGGGTGGTGGGAGAAAGGTGGGGTGGGGAAGGTAAAAGGAGGAGAGAAAAGATGCAGTAGAAGGGTGGGGGAAAAAGAAGGGGTGAGTAAGAGGAGAGAGGAGAGGTAGAGAGAGTGGGTTAGTAAAAGGAGGGGAGAGAGAGAAGAGATACCTGGCCTTTGGTGTCTCCAAGGGCACAAGGTACACCAAGACTAGGAGGGTCTTGGCCTTCGCTGCAGCAAGCCAGTTGGAGGGGAGAAGGGGCTGAGATCTTGATCAGCCCCCAGTAGCAGTTCTGCAGATCTGCAGATCTAGGGTCTGTTGTGTGAGCAGACCCTCACCACTGTAGAGCAGCCCCCTAAGCAGGGGGTCTTGAGTTCCACCACGAGCTGCCACGTGGCAGTAGAGATGGCCACGTGCACACGCAGCAGCAGCCAACG